TTTTTTTTTAAATCTTACCACATGTCAATCTTAATTTTTTTTTTCCAATAGCCAACACTCGATTTCAACTTCTTTTGGGTTATTATTACATGGCAAAATACTTGGGACATCCATAATCGGCAATAATCTTGTTTTCAAGCTGCTTATAAGTGATTTTCTGGAGAAAGATTATGTAAACAAAATTCCAAAGCAAACAACAATATTCCAATGTATAAAAATCAACTTTCATATTACAAGATTCTGAAGAAACAATGGTGCTCAAACAAGAGACAAGGAAGTTCCATAAAGCAAAATCCCAAATTATGAAGTGAAAAGAAAAGTTTTCTATAATTTGAGAAAGAAAGAACGTACCAAAGATGGAAAAAACAATAGAACATACAGAGCCACACGTATAAATTTGGGACTGAAAGCTTCAAGACCCTCTCTATAGCATACAAAAGGTTTCCTTTCAAAGGATGTTGAGAGTTTTGCACGATAGGGTTGATATACTGCACGATGAAACAAATTATATCAACCAAGTCTTCATCAACATAGCAAAAGCTTTGTTAAAATTGACCTCAAAGTAATATGGAAATTACCTGTTCTATAATAAATCCCATGAATCCTGTAAATATCACCAACTTAATAAGTTGGCGTACCACCCAACCCTTCCGGATGCAAGCTGTACGGGGATAGCTTGGCTGCAAATAACAGTACTTCACTAGAGAAATAGCAGAATGTTTTTTTCCAAAAGTGATGTAATAAAGAAAGCAGGGAAAAACAACTGAGTTCAATATCTTTACATCAATTAGTAAGTGCAAAACAGAAAAAAAAAGATAATGATTATTTATGTTGTCATATTAAGATGAAAGTTTGTAACTGCAACAATAACATGTAGCCTCAAAAACGCAAGCACTTCTTAGACCAGTCCTAAAATCCTCATATCTGCCCCCAAAGCATCTTCGTTCACATTTTAGAACAAACCGTGCAACATGGACAACAGATCCCAGGTAAATACTATATACAATCTAAGAAACCATGGCATTAGCTGAAAGCTTTATTTCTTCATTTTACTTCTTATTTTTGTTTATGCATTAACTGTTCACAAATACTCCTCCGTATGAACTCGTTAGCTCATGCAGAAGTATAAGGAGATGTACCCTATATATGCTAAAACACAAGAAACATTATGAAAATAAGAAAGAATTTTGATGATTACTGGGATTCATGATTTTAAAATCTTAGTGTGTATAAAAAACTATATAAGGTAGAATCGTGTAAATAAAGAATATTATACTATTTTAGTACACATGTAGACATGGTTTCGGACATAATTAACTGAACAAATCATGAAATCAAAGTCCTCACATGGTAAACTACAATCAGTGCAGAGTCAACACCTACAAGTCAGTAAGATTGATGCAGTTGCAGACATGACACGCCATTCATACAAAAAGATCATATGCAACCTTCAAGGAAGCAATGTATACTTTTTGCATTTGTAAAAGATTTCCACATTAAAAAATTAAAAATTTCAGCTTGATTAACTAAAAGCCATGTGTGTTTACCTGGTAACATAATGTAGGGGCAACCATGAAGTATACCAAATTCTTAAAGCTCACATCGTCAGTGTAATCCATATTCCAATAACTGGACAAGGTTTCCCCCTGGCCCATGGCATCATAAAGGAAGAGATTAGAGAATGACTGGGGAGCATCACTTTAAAAAATGCATAACATGGTTAATTATTCCAAAAATAAAAAGCAGAAACTAATCCTAAACCTTTGCCCAAGTATGTTTTGATTCAAACCTTTTAAATATGAGGCAAATGGTCTCATAAATTTTCATTTTTAGCGCAAATGGTCCTTTCGGACGGAAGAACCATTAAACATATCGAATATGGAAACATCTCACTCCCAGAAAAATAAAGAAAATATGCAAATCCACTATAACAAAAGCTGAGTTCACTTCTGTTTCACCAAAAACAATAATGAAGTGCCAGGAAAGAGTAAAAGATTCAGCAGAAAATATATTAAGAGATCTTGAAATTACAGAAATCAGTGTTTCACTCGCCAATTTTCAGTTATCGTCCTTTAAATAGTCTTGTCCAAGATATAAAGGCAAAACAGAAATTAGACAGTAACCAAAGTGAGAGGTGATGAGGGTTCTTTTTACCTTGTCAAGTGACTTTGCCAGTGCTCTCATATCATAATTCGTATGTGCATAAGACACCAACTTTAACCACACAATGCAAGTGAAGAGCATTAATGTGAAACCTGATAGAACAGCAGAGTCACACCTGTGCAAATTTCAAACTCATAACTATAAAATCACGTTGGAACTATCCAATAATTCCATAGTGCTTAAAAATATTCTCACAACTTATACTTCCAATATTTATCTTTACAACCTGTTTCCTATCTATTCAAGCCCCCAATAATGTCATCCTTTTAAGGCACTTTGTTTCAGCAACCTACATTATCAATAACACTCACATGGACCAGGCTAAAAGTTTCAAGCCAGTGCGAAGGTAGTTGTTCTTGACTACCTAACCCTGAATACACAAGATACTTTTTCTCCCTAAAGCTTGACTTACAATACAGTAATTTTAGTACTCGCCAGAAAGAGGCATTCATCATATGCTATCATACAAATAACTTTATAACTTTATATAAGGACAACGTAGGAAAGATGAAAAAAAGAGTGCATGCGTGCGGTAACTAATTTAAAGTAGTAGATGACGAACCTAAGAATTACCATAACTGGATACAAGATTTCTGCTGTAGTTATTATAACATGAAGAAAGAAAGCAACCTGCAATATTAAAAAAAAAAAAAAGTTGAAAATTTTGAAAAGACAAACCCAGACCTCAAAGCAATTGCCATGCCTTAAGATGCATAGTTTTGGAACGGTCTCAAATCACGTGGTAACTGGACATCTTATATCAATAATATGGAGCCAAATTAGAAAAATAAAGATGTCATAAAGGGGGGAAGAAAGAAAAATAGGTAAGCCATCAAGAAAAAATAACTTGAAACTCTAAAGCAATATCAGAAATACGAATAAGAAATTAAATGATAATAGCGTAGCTTTAAAAGTCTACAGCGTGACAGCTTAAGAGTTTCCTGCACTCATTGCAATAAAATTTCCAGTTCGTATCATTTGCTGGTTTAGCTAACCATGATAAGTTTATTAAAAGTATTAATGAACTAACTTTAAAAAAAAATTAAATAAATAAATAAAATAATAAAAAACTATCTCTTAGAAACAGAGAGATGCTAATGAAAATCTATAAATATTCCTAACACAGGCAACACAAGGTACAGAACTGGACGTCTTTTAGAGTTTGAAGCAACACATTTATTATCAATCTCGGATTTATATATATGTAAAGGATGAAATCAGATGCCAAAACATTGCATGGTAAGTCATAAGTGTCATCCAGATTTAATAAGAAAACTAAATGCAAATAAACATTTCCGTTATTGTAGTCCAATGATCAGAATTTTGTGGAGTTGAACCACTTGCAACATTAACTTCGAGAAAGTAAAATAAGCATTAGAATCCTGAGCCATCATAACGCTAACATACAATCCAGAATTCGCTTAAGGATGAAAACAAAGAAGTGCTTCATACTTACATGTTCAGATATATGCGTAAGTCTCACCATCTTCTCAACAAGAAAAGCCGCAAGTGGAAAAATTGGGAGACTCAGACTGCATGGCATAACAAAAAACAAAATAAAATATTGGCATAACTGCTAATGTGCCAGATACCTTGTTTTCTAATGCCAGAACTCCAATGAGAGGGGGGGAAATCAGGATAAAAATACCAGCACATTAGAAGTGGCCAATCCCTCAGTGACTTTGAACTAAACCAAAAGCCTGACCTGATTAACCAGCCATACTGAAAGTAAGCAAACAAGAACACATCATCAGAAGTAATACTATATTATGTTCCTTAAATTGCAATTATATATTAAAATCTAACTGCTCTGACAACAGTAACGGGAACATATATCTGTCACTAGTGATATTTTAAACAGATTTATGAAGTAAAACTGGAAACGTTAACAAGTAATGCCTGATTATGTGTACTGCATGACCTACATTTGGATTAATATCTGCATAAACCAAAAGGAGTGAAAGGCGTAAGAGGCATGCCTTCATTAAATTTTCAATAATAAGTCTGCTGTTCACAGCAACAAGAACCACTATGCAAAGGTTGAGAAGACCTGCATGACTCTGTCACGGGATGCCAATTAGTCCTGAATATCACAATGTTCTATGGAAACCTATCCTCAAAAAATAATTAGTAATAGTTTACAGAATGAAGGTTCTTGACAGAATATCTAGAGCCATGATGAAAACACTTAAATCAAGAGCATAGAATCCAGATGTAAATATTTCGTCTGGTTTTACACCTCTACCATTTTCTTGGCCATTTGTTGGCATATTTTACCAGAAACAAAAGCAAAAAGCATTAATCAATCAGTAAATCACAAAACTAAGATTTACCAAATATATTTCTACCATCTGATCAAACGGAAGTGTTTGTAATTCATAGGCCATTGAATAAAATTTTGATTGTAGGTGCTGGTAATTAATACTTATGGAAATAACTCCCCAGTGGTATGCAATCTACTGATAAACACCACAAAGCAACCACCCAGACTACCCAGTGGATTTATATATCCAGAATATCACTCCAACTACCTGCAAATTACCCCCTGATTGTAACCCAAAAAAAAAAAAAAAAAAAAGGCAATTACTCAAGCAGTGCATTCAATGGACATAAAACCATTAATCATCCCAAAATAGCAATTCCGACCTCATTGCAACCTCAGCACAAAGATTACAAGCAGATCATTCCTCAGGCAATGCAGTCTCTTATCTCTTTGCAAGTCCATTAGATGCTGCTACGTGGCTATTTACTCTCAACAGGATCCCAATTCAAATTAGAGCTTCATTCATAATAAAGATCAAAATAGATGTCCAAACATGGGATACTCTATTATGCGAACACATAATGGTACTCATTAATCCTCATCTAAACCAAATAAGATACGAAAATGAATGTAGAGAAAATAGGTAGACGCATACACTTCATATAATGGGAAGGTAGTTGAAGAAGACAAACACAAGGCAAACCTGTTTGAAGATGGCATCGGAGCTGAGAGGACTCTCTTTAATTCTTCGGTGAGCTGGTGCTGATGGCCGGTAAGAGAATTTCAAGGCGGATGCCTCCATCCCTTTACTACTCTCTCCATTCTCTTGGATCTTTTTATCCTCCATCTCCCTGTTATTTATCAACTCTTCACTCTCAAATTTATTCGAATTTTCACTCTCCTCCGATTCCACAACACCTCCATAGCCATTTCTGATCTCATCAATACTCTCCGAGTCTTCATTTACCGTGTTAAAATCGGCCTCCGGTATTTTCTCAACAGCGGCGGCCGGTCTCCTCCGAATTGTACGGTTGTCGTCATTGTTTTGCATCCCGGCGATCGAAAGCGTCGTTTCCAAACTCTCCAGCAACTCCAAGATCGTCACTTTATCATCAAACAGAATATTCTACAAGAAATAGAGAATCCCAGATAGAATTAAACAAAAAGGGCCATCAGAAAAATGATTTGACATGCAAGGACAGTACATAAGAAAATGGGTAAATTTCAGGATAAGAGAACAGGAAGAAGATAACCCACAAACTTTGAGACAAAAAAATAAAAATGGTAAATAACATCAACTTTGGCTGCTTGTTCAATTCTTAATTCTAATGGAACATCATAATGGACTTCAGATGATGATTATGCATTATCCACGCACTATACATAATATATACATACGATTATAGAAGGACGGTGGTGAATTTACCAGAGAACAACAGAAGTTAGGAAGGTTCTATAATAAGAGAGACGATGCGAAGCATAATTGTTAATTTACGGCAATGCCGTGTTAGCGTAGAACAAATGTGAGGTCAACTGCGTCCCGCCCCGCTGCGAACACGAATGGGAAAAAGGTCAGACTGTTTAGGATGGACCCCAAATGGGAAGGCGCGTGAATAATGAAAAAATTTAGGTTTGGACTTTATTTACCAAACAAATCATTTTTTCAAAATTTATTTTTATTTATACATTCTCTTATAAAATAATATTACAAGTAAATTTAAATTTTTATTTTATTTTTTTACCATATATTCTTCAAAATATCACTATTTTCACAATATATTTTTTATCAAAATCTCATTTTAATGGAACCTAAACATTAACATAATTTGATTTCTAATGTGCTTCTTTACAGTTTCTATATATGTTTTGTTTTTAAGATAGCAAAAGATTAATGTGGTCATTTTTTTAATGTTCATTTTCCCTCGAAATTATTTTTAATCACATATTTTATAGCATTTATAAAGGATGCCACTATTTATATCCATGGTTTATATATATATATCGTTCTACATTCATCCTCTAATATTTATTTTTATTAAATTCTTTTGAATCATTTTTATATTCTTTTAGAATGTGTGTTTAACTAAAATCCTAGTAATCATAAAATATCATCTTCACATTTTATGAAAATTTATAAGTTTTTTTTTTTCAAGCAGTAATTAACAGATTTTAAATTATACATAAATTTTTTAGAATTTTTATGTAAATAATAGGGATAATTGCAGTAAAGTCTCAAACCTTTAAAATACTAGCAGACTTTTCCCAAATATTTGATTTGTTGCAACCGTCACTTCTAACCTCTCCAAACATTGCAGGTGAAGCTCCTTTTGCCAATTTTCATCCACAATTTTGTTAGTTGACAAAAACTTTAACTTTAACCACATTTTAAATAGGGTAAAAGATTAACTTTTCATTTCTCACATTAAATAATTAAATTAACGAATAAGAAATAAAAAAACACACACACACACAATCATCTTCTTCCTCTCACCCCTCATCACCCCCACCTCCACCTCCACCTCCACCTCCACCTCAAACCCAAAATCCACCTAACCACTGCTATCTTCACTTTCGCCTCCACCTCCACCTCCACAACCACTTGCTATCGGCCACCATCATCCACCCCATCATAATTGTCACCTAACATTCTTTAAATTTCACAACAATGCCCTAATACTTCAAATTCTTCAATTTTACAGCCTTCTACTGCACAAATTGAGGGCAGTTTCTCAAGAGGTGAGGGCATAATTCCTTGAGCTTGGTCACGTGCGAACTTCAGATCCATTATCTCTTCGTTGTCAAACATAAGGCATTTACTTTTCAAAGCATTGATGTTATTCTTCCTCTTACTATGAACGATAGACTTTTTTTCAAGTATTTCCTTCTTTATGAACCCTAATTTATCAATTTTAGACAGGTTACTCCTTGAATCCGCTCTAATAGCAAGCTTGAATGCTGAATAGCTAGTTGGCGTCAAATCACCTTTTACATGTCCATTTGTTGCAACTTCCCCAGATTTGTTTTTACCACTATCATCCCCGTGAGTTTTATCTCCCCATAAAAAGAGCAATAAGATGAAAAAATAGAAGTCTTCAAATTTCAATCTAAAAAAACAATAAACAGAATGCAAAGTGTGTGTGTGAAAGTTAATTTGGGTGGCGGTTGTGATGGGATGGATGATGGTTGCCGATAGAAAGTAGTTGACTGGTTGTAGAGGTGAAAGTGATGGTGGTCAAGTGGATTTTGGCGTGGCGAGGGGTGCTTTTTAATTTAATTATTTAATGTGATAAATGAAAAAGTTACTTTTTTACCATTTTTAAAATATTAAAAATGTGGTCAAAGTTAAATTTTTGATCAACTGATGAAATTGTGGATTGAAACTGTCAAAAAAAGCTTCACATGCAACATTTGAAAAAGTTATGGGTGAAGACTGCAACAAATCAAATATTTGAAAAAAGTTTGCCAGTGTTTCAAAGGTTTGAATCTTTTACTGCAATTATCCTTAAATAATATTAGATCTCGAACTATTTCCATTTTTCTAGAAATTTCTATAATTTTACTTTTTCATAAATTTTATTGTTTATTTTGTATTTTTTTTTAATATTTTATATATTTTTTAAAATTTATCAATTTTCTTTTTATTTTTTTAAAGTTTAGAAATTTTATTTATTAGAATTTTATATTTTTATTTTAATTTTTTTAAACTCTTGTTTTTCATATTTTGTGATTTTTCAAAATTTTCATGAAAATATTTAACCCTTGTTTGAACCCCATTATTCTTCATTTTTTTCAAAATTCATTTTCAATCATATATTCTTCAATAAAATAGTATTACACGCAAATTCAAAAAAATTTCTTAATTTTTAACAACATATTCTCTATCAATTTACTATTTAAAATATTTTTTTTCCCAAAACGGGGTTAAACAAGAGCTTAAAATGTCAAAAAATGCAGTTTGAGTTCCATGTGGCATGTAGTAAGTTTATCATTGTGTTATGAAAATGCATTTTCATAAACATCAGACAAAACACGATTTCAGTATTTTACAAAACAAAAAATTGAAATCAACAAATTGAACATACCCTTATTTTCCCTTAAACTCGTTTTCGACCACATATTCACTCTATAAAATAATTAGCATGCAAATTTAAATTTTTTTTTATTCTTTTTAACTTCACATTAAAACAAAATTACTATTACAAAATTCATATTTCTCCAAAATAGGATTCGACAGGAGCTTCGCTGTTTATCTTTGTCTCGATAAGACGAGTGATGAGATAATAGTATGCATAAAAATAAAATTTGATTATTAATGAATAATTTGTAAAATTGACAAGCAAACAATAAATAAATCAAATAGATACATAAACGTGTTTTATTTTCTCTTTTTGACGAAAATGCTCGTCGACTTCCTCAATTCCCAAACGTGCCCCTGTTCAACTTCAACCCCTCAACGACGCGTAAATCAATCATATAAAATTCACCCCCAATCTACTACCCCCAGTCATCGTCACCAGCTGCTGAAGAACCTTCCTAAACACCGCGTCAGCTGCTCACACGCTTCCTTAACTTACACAACCTTGCGAATATACATGTCTATATATATGCAAAATCCATCACTTCCTTCTCTCATTCAAGCTTTCTTGTGTTCACATTTCCATTCAATTCAATTCACTATTCAATTCACTATTCAATTCAATTCAATTCACTATTCAATTCAATTTTCAATTCAATTCAATTCACTATTCAATTCACTATTCAATTCAATTCAATTCACTATTCAATTCACTATTCAATTCAATTCAATTCACTATTCAATTCACTATTCAATTCAATTCAATTCACTATTCAATTCAATTCACTCTTCAGAAGTTTCACCCTGATTAATAAAGCTTTTACATGGAAATCTCTACTTCCCCATTTCAAGAAGATTTCTCATTCTTTAATTTCATTCAAGACTTCGAACCCAGTAGTATTCCTCTTAGCTATAGTAAAAAGCGCCCCAGGAATGATGGTATTTTTGATTTCGAGGACGACAATAACGAATCATCAGTGCAAGAATTTGTATCCAAATTTTTAGTTTTTGATGCCCAACAAGAAGATAAACCAGCCCAGAAAGCAAAGGAGAGTATACAGACAGAGACAGTGCATTCTATGCAACCGAATTCATTTTTGGATTTTGAATTTAAGCAAAATGATCAAGAAATGAATGGGGGTGGATTTTTTTCGGATTATTTTCGGAAAAATGATATCTTTAAGGATTTTGAGTTTGATGAATCAACTCCCTCAAAGCGTGCACGAGTGGAGGCTAATGATGGTGCCACCGCATCGGACGAGTCTACAACGATGGTGAGTGGCGGTGCACAGCGGAGATTGTGGGTGAAAAACCGATCTAATGCATGGTGGGAGCAAGTTAACAGTCCAGATTTCCCTGAAGAGGAGTTCAAAAGGACATTTCGGATGAGTAAAGCTACATTTGATATGATCTGCGAAGAGCTTGAGTCTGTGGTGACAAAGAAAGACACTATGCTGCGTTTGGCTATTCCGGTTCGCAAACGAGTGGCGGTTTGTATATGGAGATTGGCAACGGGTGAGGCTCTTCGAGAAGTGTCTAAGCGTTTTGGATTAGGAATTTCGACTTGTCATAAGCTGGTGTTTGAGGTTTGTTCCGCGATGAAGAGTGTTTTGATGCCTAAGTTTCTGCAGTGGCCTGATGAAAATAAGATGAAGGAGACTACGGAGAAATTTGAATTTAAATCTGGGATTCCAAATGTGGGTGGTTCAATTTACACCACTCATGTTCCAATCGTTGCTCCGAAGACTAATCTTTCGGCTTATTTTAATAAGAGGCACACAGAGAGGAATCAAAAGACTTCTTATTCAATCACAGTCCAAGGAGTAGTCGATTCAATGGGAGTTTTCACAGATATTTGCATTGGGTGGCCTGGTTCAATGACTGATGATCAGGTCTTGGAGAAATCCGCGCTTTTCCAGAGAGCAAATCGGGGGGCTATGAAGGATGTTTGGGTTGTTGGGAATTCGGGTTTTCCATTAATGGATTGGACATTGGTTCCTTATACTCATCAGAATCTTACTTGGTCACAACATGCTTTTAATGGGAAAGTTGATGAGGTTCAGAGGGTTGCCAGGGATGCATTTATGCGATTGAAAGCAAGGTGGAGCTGCTTGCAGAGGAGAACAGAGATTAAATTACAGGATCTTCCTGTCGTCCTTGGAGCTTGTTGCGTCTTGCATAATATATGTGAGATGCGAAATGAGCAATTGAATCCCGAGCTGAAGTTTGATATTTTTGATGATGAAATGATTGCAGAAAATGGTGTGAGGTCAGCAAATGCAATGCATACCCGAAATCAGATTGCTCACAAGCTC